TTTTTTTTTTTTTAATAGATATTAAAACCATGAAAGGAAATTCCAAGAATTCGCTTAATATTCATCTTCCACTCGCAATCAGAGTTCGTAATTTTATAAATCTTTTACGACTTTATCATAACATTATCGTTACTGATATTATTTATATATTACTTTTCACTTTATACTATTTATATTATTACTTCATCCTTAATGGGCGAAACGAAGGAAAAAGTTGAATTTTGACGCCTATTGTCTGATCTGTGACACGCAGGTTACAAAATCACGCCGAAGCCCTGTCGAGTCCCCGGGCCAGAGTCCAAGGAAGGCACGTGCATGTTCGTGTGGGAGTGCATCAAATCGGAGGGCACGCACGTGGGCGTGTGCGTGGACACGTTCATGTTCGGCAGCTGCTGCGTGCACAATACGACAACGAACGCGATCACCGCGTCCAATCTTCATCACCAGCATCACCACCATCACCATCATCATCATTACCATCAGCAGCACGGCGCGTCATCTTCGTCGGAGCCGTTGAGGCCAACTCTGGCAGAGGCGTTGGGCAACGAGTCGACCAGGCCCACGTTGACCTCCCTCTCCAGCTTCCTCGTCACGGACACGAGCACCGCCAGGCCGAGTCACCATCCATCCGAGACGCTCGATTCTTCCGGAGTGTCCACCAGGCCGCACAAACCGCTCTCGGCCGGTTCCGCTAGGCCGCTGCAGAAACGACCGCACGCGAAACCCACGTCCGATCACAAGGACAGGATTCAAACGTCGGTGGTTCCTGGCTCGTCGAATTTCTGGGAGAAGAGCCCCCAGAGCACCAAGAGGCCTGCCTCCGGTGGATCGGTGGACCTTTGGGAGAAGGGATCTCAGAATACGAAAAGACCGAATTCTCAAAGTACGAAGAGGCCTGGTGCCGTTTGGGAGGATAATGGCCAGAACACGAAGAGACCTGGTCATCATGACTCGTTGAACGTTCAGAAGACGAGGCCGGAAAACGGCCAGCATGCGGACGTCAAAGAGAAGGACACGACGCACGAGAGTTTCCAGAATCATCATCAGGGGTTCAAGGATAAGGTTGAGAGCGGGCACAATACGTTGGTGATTAGATTACCAGGGAAGGAGCATGCTTCTAGCGAGGACGAGGGTATAAGGCCTAACAGGCCTAATAGCCAAAGACCGTCCGAGTCGAGGCCGGATGACAGCAAGACCGAAGAGGATGCCGATTTGAGCGTGCAGGAGTCGATACACAGACCTAGCGTTAACTCGGTTGACGAAAACGTGAGTACTTGACTTTTGAGCTGACAAGTTACACTTGGAGTTAATAGATTCTCTCTCTCTCTCTCTCTCTCTCTCTCTCTCTAAGTAGCAAATTAATAAATTTTGAGAAACTCGAATTGAAGATCAAGTTCAAAAGTGTTTCATCTCCTCTGCAGGAACCTGTCAAGGACCCTCATCCAAGCTTCAACTTCATTCATACGGAACGTCCACAGTGGGCGACCAAACCAGTATCCCCGAAACCAACGACAGACTTTTCGAAACCATACTTCTCGATCAAAACGACCACGTATCGACCGATTCCGATGAACGACCAACCAGATACCAGGCCAAACTTCGTCTCGAAACCCAATAGTTCCGGCACGGTTATGAAAACCTCGACCACTGCCAGACCGACACACTTCAATGGACAGTTCACCACCAGGTATTCGACTATGTCCTTGCGTTACGCTTACAGCCTCAGCTTGAAATTTTAGTTCAGAATTTTGTCTGCATCATTTCTTCGAGGTTTGCTATAAAACGAACATTTTATTTTGCGTTTTATATTGTTTGTGTTTTATTCGTCATTCGTGCAATTATTAGTGGAAGAAAGTTGTTATTAAGAAAGAGAAATATTTTTACAATTTCGCAATCTTTCACTAGTACATGCATCAAGTGCGCGTAGTATGTATTGAAATTATTAAAATTCACATTCTGAAGAATTTACTATTCAGTGTTTAGAAGCACAGAAGATCTTGAGTATTTGAAGTATCACGTAGCAATATTTCATGATGTGAAAACGTATAATACTTTCTTGTTAACAAGTTTCTTAGTAACTTCACCCACAGTCTCGTCAAGTAAATCAATTTTATCATTTTTTTTACCGTGTTTCTTCCGCCGAGTCAGACTCAATTAACGTCCAACGTTCCTAACCATATCAACTCGCTCGTTAATTAATAGGAGCAATCAAGCGAAACGAAGGTTTTTTTTGCGTGCGCCAGCTTCAAGCTTTTCTTTCATTCTAGCGCAGCCGGATCCTTGCCACAGACCTCTCACTGGCACGTGACCACAGAGCCGGTGTTCGTCACGAAACAAAGACCGTCGTCGTCTACAAAGCCGATGGGCTCGCTCGAAACAACGAAACCTTTGACCAGCAGCTCGCATTTCTGGTCGGAGAACAGTTGGACACCGCCGAGGCCGTCCTTGAAACCGCACTGGACCGACAACCCCAGCCTCCTTCAGAACGGACCCGAAGCATTTCCGCCGCGGCCGAGTTTCAAACCGACCGAACCGCAAGAAGTACGTGCAGATGTTTGTTCATCCTGTGGAAACGTTCAGTTTGTTTAACTATCGAACGCTTCGTAATACTTCGGTACATTGACTAGACTCCGTTTATTTCAAGGAAATTTTTTAAATTATTTAAAAAAAAAATATATATATATATGTATATCGAGAGCTTCTGAATGACAGTTTAACTGAAATTAATTGTCATTTGTATGCTTCAGATATATGAAATACTTGACAAATA